CACACACACACACACACACACACACACACACACACACACACACACACGTTTGCGCCAAACCCACTTGCATTACATGTTTCAATTTTTCAATTCGAAAAGTTGAAGTCGGAAAAACAACAACGTAAAAAAACAAATGCAAATGTCAATAATTTTACAATATCTTAGGGCATTACTTAAACAAAATAAACATTTTGTAAAAACACGTATAATTACGTAAGTATAATACATAACAAAACACATGTAAAACTTCATAACTTGAGTTTGAGCGAGAAAAAAGCACATTATGGCAATTTTTAAAGCAGAACTACTCCAAACAAAAAAAACAAGGGGTAATGAACTATTAGTAGCCTATACAGCATATCATGTACATGTATTTGCCAATATATTTTTATATAGACATACATTTTAGACAAAGCCATTTTCAAAGTATTCCAAATATGATTACAACTATAAAAGTAAAGGTGCAATAATTACAGAAAAGGGAAAAGCATAATTAGTCTTGTGAAGAGAAGCACATCTATATGATTATAATGATCCCATATTGCTGGTAAGAAATATGAAACAAACTAATATAAATGTGAGACAGGAAAATTAGTCATTTCCAAATAAAAGGGGTAGAATAAAAGAAAACGGCAAGCTATCATCAGCGTTATTCCACAAACGTCAGAGGGAGAGCTTTGAGAAAATTTAAAGAAGAAGAAAGTTCCCAATCAGAAACACGACTAGAGCGCTAGTAATTTTTTCAATTAAAAACTAGAAATGAAATAATGAAACAGAACGAAACAATAATAATATTGTAAGACGTCTCTTGATGTCTTTATTCGAATAAAGCTTTATCTGGAAACCGCTAGAAATTGATTAGGGCGATGGTGGAATAACGCTGGTGATATCAAAATAAGGAGTGGGGCTCGTGAGCCATATTTTGTATTGGAAAGCAACCAGATAGTGCATGCGATTTTATAGTATAAAGGTGGTACGACGGATTCGCAAAACAGATAGGGGGAGAATATGATAGAGACCGTTTGAACTGTCTAGACGGCCACCGTTGAGGGGGTGGCCGTCTTAGAAAGGCAGTCGTCTTAAACACTGTCATAAGTACGAAAGGAAAGAAATGGGAAGTGGCCGTTCGTCCAGGTGATTGGCTTATAAAGGTGGCCGTTAGAGCAGATTCCATTGTATATCATTGTAGTTGTAGATGTATTATGTTTCACGCCCCCATACACACAAGTTAGATCATTTAAGAGGCGGGCTTCTTCGATACTGCCTGTCAAACGTTCGAAGAGCCAAGCATAAGTAACACAACATGTAGACGCCAAGGCAACAAGGGCAACATTTATATATCTACGAGTGGGAAATGTCAAACAAAGGACAATCAAGCTATACTGTTACATTACAAACAAGCACACTGATATTTTCGTCTTCCACCTTAGCTTTTAATCTCTGTTGAGAGACAAAGCGATGGGAGGAGAAACAAGGAATAGGACCTCGGGTTGCAACAAGATACAAAAATCTTATACCGTTGAATACAAGATACACAACTTGACGGCTCCTTTCAAGAAACCGTAAGACAAGAAAGAATAACCAAAAAAGAAAAAAACAACTGAATATTTATTGGATTTGCTTTACTTAGTTGTACCATTTACTTTGACAAATATTGGATCAAATGCTTTACCCTTGAAATGAGTAACACTTCTAGTAAGGCATGAATCTTACAAATCTACCAACAACATTGCTGAAAGAAACAGACCCCCAAAAAATAGAAAAGAACAAATAAAAATATCCTTCAAGATGGTCTCCAATGCCCTAATGTCGTACCTGGTACGTCATAAGACGGCAGAGCTTGCCATAT